TCAGAGACATTTTGAAGAGTTGAAGTCATTGTTGATATAACTGGCAAATAAACAGGCAAGCATCTACATCATCAGTACAAATGCACTTTTGACCTTTCACTTTTGTACTGAAGCCTGCAGAATCAAAAGTCACTCACCTTGGCTTTTTAGGACCTAGGGGAGATGAATCAGTCCAGTCAAGTCTAAACAATGCTTCAAAATAAATAAAAAAATTCCTAATATAGCTGGGGTTATGATGCATGCCAGGTATACTTTTAAGGAAAGCGGCAGGCAGTTTTATGAGCACTTTAAGCAACACATATGCATATTTGAGCAGATGTTGGCCTTCATATATCTAGACCCCAGAAAGATCTGAATTCAAAGGACCAGCTATTATGGACAGATGAAACCCACCAAAATGAATAAAATTCATGAATGGGTTAAGCTTCTCTGAAAGGTCTTAATGAGATTTCCCTCATAAAAGTGCATCATACTTGTTGCACCACAAAAATGTGTCCATATGGATTCAGTCTCCATTCCCCATGAAAAACATGGAAATAAAAAAATGCTGAAAGTAGGAGTCATGCTAATTTACTGGGCATGTAGACCTGACTCTTATAGAGTCCTACGTCTAAAAGCTAATTGCTCAGCAAAAAATATATATTCCAGCTCCACCAGTTTCGCTCTTCCAATGCAAAAATATCGTTTTTCATGTCCTCTTACTTGCAGGATTCCTTAGAAACCGGCAATGCCGTTGGCTAGTGTTGAAATTCCCCACCAGATTCGTTATTTTAGTATAAAAATTTCGTTATACCTGTTGCTGGCTCGAATCCACACTGACGTCTACAATTCCTGCCTGATTCCGACGGAACCTGGAATATCGTTGGTTCTTGTTGATATTCCCCGCCAGTTTTTCTCCTGCGATGCAGAATTGTCATGATACCTGTTGCTGGCTCGAATCCTGACTGTTGCAGAGATTTCCCCTCACATGCACGATTCCTTCGGAACCGGCGATATCTTTGGCTTTGTCCTCCACCAGCTTCGCTCTTTCAATGCAAAAGTATCGTTATAAATGTCCTCTTCCATGCACAATTCCAACGGAACCTGCGATTTCGTTGTTTATTGTTGACATTCCCCACCAGTTTGGCTCTTTCAATGCAAAATTGCAATTATACCTGTTGCATGTTCGAATCCTCATTGACTCCTATATTTCCGCTCACATGCACGATTCCTTCGAAACCAACGATATGGTTGGCAAGTGTTATATTCCTCTGACCAGTTCCGCTCTTCCAATGCGAAATTGTCATTAAATCTATTGTTGGCTCGAATCCTGACGGTTGCCGAGATTTCCACTCACATCTCGAATACAGTCCTGCCGAATTGGGAACTGGCAGCACTTCCGAGTAACGGGTAGGTTCGCGTCGGAAGGAGCTAGGCCGATCTTTCGCAAGAGGCGTCGTTCCCTCTTCGCACCTCTAGTGAAGACTTCGGCATCGATGATGAAATTTATCTTGTGACGGATTATTAAATGCGTTCCGTTGTATAGCCCTTTTTTGTGTTGAGGTTTTGAAGGAGCATGGAGCAAAGGAGCATTTGAGTTTCCACTAATGAGGTGACATTCTAGATGGGGTGAGGCTGCTGAGAAACTCCAATGGAAAAACGTTTCGCTTTTCATTATCATCACACTCAACCCAGTCGACACCGATGTATTAATATATATTGAATTCCCCCGCTACTCGTGCTAGAACTTTCTCATTCAATTCAAGCCCCTCTTCATTCTTGAAGCAAAGGATGGCGTGGTTTTGTATTGAATCAAGATATTTAGTAGCGATGCTTTCTTGCCATAGGCATTGCCTGTGACGCAATTAACCACGCATGGCTGAGGTAGCGCAACCGTGTAATCACAGATTTTTCCAAATCAGGAGGTGGCCCTCTCCAAGAGACAACAAAGAGACAAGCAGCAAGGATGACGCACTTATTACCGCGGCGAACGATATGAATAACTTTTCGGACGTCCCCTCCAAGAACCAGGAATTTGCTACCGTGACATCCTCGGGAGTTAAGGAAGATTCATCTCAAATTCCATAGTTCATATCTCGACGCGCTAAAGCGCGTCGAGATATGAACTATGGAATCGCTGTGACACACACACATTCACACACACATACACTCACCGATTTCCGGAATTTGAATTAGTCCCCAGTACTTTCGACAATGTAGCCTATCTTGGGTAGCCGATGGATGGGCGTTCACGAGGAAACTGCGGTGATGTACCTCTTCGACGAACAGAGGAATCGGGGCGATTCTTCTGAATTTCATCATGGGCGCTAAAAATTCCTGGATTCCTGGCAGCTGGTGGGAGACACTGCAGTCGGGGATACCACCGTTCCCTTGCGAGTACCAGGGCAACTCTCGTCTCCTCGTTCATCCGAGAGATGGCGAGAAGAGAGCGAATGAGAGTTGC